TCGAAGAGACGGCACGGCGCCAACGAGCGCTCGTGCTCGCCAAGCCAGCGTCGTCCGCCGAGTCGGGATAGGTGTAGTAGGGTTCAAAGCCTCGCTACATAGTATCTTGGTTTCTTATATTATAAGAAACCGAGGCGTTCTCGTCATGCCTTTGGCGGCACGCGATGGGCTTGTCGAGAGTTGCCAACACGGTTGTGACGCGTCCACATTTCCCGAAAATCGTCACTTTACCCGTCAAAGCGGTGTGTGTGACTGCGGCCAGCGGTGTAATTTCCGGAATCCGTACAGTACACACCGTAATTCAGTTGCGTACTTTCGAGCCCGATAACAAATGACCCAGCACGCGGACGCGGAATACGAGGCAGCGCTCGCGGCGGAGGACGCGGGCGAGCGCCTCAAGCTTCTGGCCCGCGACATCACGCGCACCGTCGGCCGCTACGCCATCGCGTGCACATACACCGCCGACACGAGCTCGGGGCTCCACTTCGGGCGACTGCAACCCAACAGCGCCGCTCTCGTTCGGCTCTTTTTGTCCACGGGACAGTTCGACGTGGCTCTCGCTCGCGTCGATTGCCAGCCGGGCTCTCTGGTCGTGACGGCGCTCAAGATGCATCCTCGCCCGGCGACGCCCAAGGTCATTCGCCAGCGCGTGCGATACTCGTCGTTTGCGCGCTGGTCTGGTGACGTCCGCCGCGGCGCCGTCGTCATCCTTGTTTGGCCCAAGATGCTGCGTTTGCGCTTCCTCGGCTTCGAGGAGGTCTTTTCGATGCTCCAAGACCCCGATGGCTTTGAGCAGGTCGCAGGGCTCATTTGTGGTATCCCTACGCCATCGGTCGTGCCCCATCTCTTGAGCCTTGCGGGCAACGCGACGGGCGCACCCCGCGCGCCGAACAACGCCAAGGTGCTCGTCGGTCGTCTCTTGGTCGGCGTGGCGCATCCGCTCGGTGCAGAGTTTTGCGTCAAGTTCTTGCACAAGACCTCGACGATGGATCGCGGCTGCGAGCAGTTTGTGTTCCGCGCCTTGGCGCTGCACGGATGGATGCGCATCGG